GGATATAGGGTCAGACTGGAAAAAAGCTAGTGGAGGTCAAACAAAAACATGGCACCAGTCAATGAAATCCACAACGGTTAATTTAAGCCAGCCATTCACGTAGGGAGGTGTTGACATCTTGGTTGTGTTCCTCGGGAAGGTAAAAATCAATGGTTGGAAACAATTGGTGACATGGCTCAAAGTGATCGTTCTCAGTGGCGCAGATGCATCCACTCCTTGTGACTGATGATTTCCAATGAAAATGTGTGTTTTGTTCTTCGTTATTACTCTTCGTTTGTCTCACACCTCTGTTTACTGTCTCTATTATGCTTTTCTCGTACTTTCTTCTCATGCTTTGTGTGCTACAAGGAGGGAGTGTGGCGACTTGAACTGCCGCACAAATGTGCAAAGTTCTATGTCGAAAACAGACACACAGACAGTAATTAAACCTTATAATTTATTTAGGCTGTAAGCAGCTGATGAGAAGCCAACGAAATGAATGTTGGTGCCATGTTATTCTGCACAAACCACTGTTGTTCTTGCTTTATTCCAAATTCATCAAGAGGAATAAATGCATGAACATTCTATCATATTGGCTTTACTCAGCTGCGTGTTAATAATAATAATAATAATTTGCTTTATTCCAAAACAGTACTTGTGATACAGAATGGAATTCCAAGGACTTTAGTTTAGTACTGCTGAAGAGTCAGCTCATGATGAAATCTTGTAACAAATCAACCGAATCCCTACAAACCAACACTTGAAAACCATGTAGTTTCTCAGGTTTTCATTTTTTTTAAAAAAGGTTATCAACAGCATCTGCTGAACAATACACTAAGCTTATGCATCGTTTAAATCAATAGGGTGACCATCAACTAAACAGAACAAGAGAGTATTGATTTTTAGAAAATTTGGAATTTTTTTAAAATTTCTAAAAAAAAATCACACCTACTGTATACGTCAGTAATGAGAATAGGCTAAACAAATTTAAAAAATTAGTGAGCCTATACAAATAAGGTCAGTCACTTATATATAAAGTGGTCAGTGCTTCTTTCCTACAGTAATATACTATGTATAAATGTCTAGATTTTTGTTTCGGCGAATACTCTCATTAAGGCATCCTAGCTAACTGAAGCGTTTACCCGAAATGCAATTAAATTATCGTATGGAAAAAAAACGTGTTAAATGAAATCTGGAAATCTAGTGAAAAGCCGTGACCAGTGAGGATAATCTAGATGTCATGTGTGAGCATGGATGTCCTGCCTACGACAATGGTTGACGTCGTCCTAAATCACGAATCGGTAGAAGTTAAAATCCATGAGTTGGCCATTGAATCGGGTTCCAGTGACTGAATGGTATACGAGGTTGCCTTGTAACCGGAAGGTTCTGGGTTCGAACCCGTGTGGTGGGGGGTTCTCCCGATGAAACCCAAACTAGGATGAAACAGCTGTCTAGTACTCCATGGTTTTCAATGGTTCTCTAGCTGATATCAATCCGTGATCAACTCGTAAAAATATAAAGTACAACTTGAGTGTTTGGAGGTGCAATATTAGATCCAACAATTAAGTTGAGCACCAGAGGGCAAAACTCGAGTGCCCACCAATTCCTTTCTACCCCCCTCCTGAAACTCTTCACCAGAAACTTCGATGAAAAGCTATAGTTGGAAGCTGGACTATCATGCAACGACCCAAGAACTGTGTCAAAATGGACTATTCTCTTGACTGGAATGAGATGTCACCCTTACATATCACACTCTCAACTAAACTCAGCCTTAATCCTCACTCACTTTCCTTTGTTTAACTCGCTCTTCTGATTAATCTGCCTAGTGGTTCATTTATTTTTTATTATATACTTGTATGTTCCTCTCTTTTTACTTTTAACTTAACATATTTGCCCTTTTATTATTTCATTATTCTTATTCTTATCATTTCTTTGATGGTTATTACTATTATTATTATTATTCGGAAACAAACTCGTATGAACAAATCTAATCCTTACAAACTAAACTCGTGAAAATTAGTCCGAGGCTTGCTAGTGACTTGCTAAAGGACAGAGTTTCCTGGAGTTCTAGTGAGAATTCGTGACCAGTTAGGTTCATCTAGTCGAGAGTGAGAATGGATTTCCTGCCGATGACATTGGTCGGTGGTCACGCTAAATCATCACCACTTGGTAGAAGTTAGAATTCACAGATTGGCCATTGAATCAGGTCGGGTCTTGGTGGCTGCTTGATAGTCTACGAGCTAGCTTGCCTTGTCACCATAAGGTCCTGGGTTCAAACTTCTGGCAGTGGGTGCGTACTGATGAAGAGTCTGAAAACTAGAACAACGGAAACGGTTGTCTAATACTCCCTGTGACTGGTTTTCAATGGATCTCCAACTGATATCAGTCAGTGTTCAAACTTGGAAAACAAATCAACTCTTGGAAATTAAATCAAACCATTATTCTTTTTTTATCAGAGTTTCAAAATTGTTACACTAATATTGTCTGACAGGAGTCAGACAATGATATTCCTAATTATCGTGGACTGACTGGATTATGCGTCACACAGTGGGAAACGAGAAGACAGGATATCCTGGACCGACCGATGTGAAGAACCTAGAAGACCTGGATTTCGCGCGTGGATGATTTATGTTTGATGTCACACAAACAAAATCGAAGACTTACGGCGAAAATCGACAAACTGCTCGAAGAAGCAGCAGGCGAAGACAGGACTCCCGGTGAACATAGGTGAACAAGACGGAGGTTATGAAAATAACCAGCCAACAACAACAAAAGCAAAATCCAGCGTCCATCACCATCAACGGGAGGGATTTGAAAGAGCTCACTTCATTCACTCACTTATCTAGGAGCATTATCTCAACTACAGGATTCGGAACGGACGAGGATGTCGAATTCAGAATCTCGAAGGCGAGAAACACATTCATCAATCAACCTGAAACCAATCTGGGAATCTTCGTCACTCACCATCAACAACAAAATTCCCTCAGATTTTCAATACAAACATCAAGTCAGTCAGTTCTTCTATACGAATCAGAAACTTGGGGGGTGGGTCACAAAGAATATTTCCAACAGCCTGTTGCACACCTTTATCAACAACTGTCTTCGCTGGATCTATACTGAAGATCAGATGGCCACCAACAAGAAACTATGGGAACACATTAAACAAAACAAGAACCAATCGCCAACCAACAAATATGCAGGAGAAAGTGGAGATGGACACTCGCTGAGGAGGCCGGTGGGTGACATCACGCGCGCGTCAGGTCATTCCTCGAGTGAAACCAGGCCGAAAAGGAAGCACGCCGTGAGTGGGTCATCAGTGCAAGGGTGACATGAAGGAGATCGTGTGAAGAGGAGTTGAAAGAGTATGGACTAACATGGATGCAGGCGAAAAAGAGATGGAAAAAGCATCGGCGATAGGGAACACTAGGCAACTCTTTAGACTCATCAGGGAAACGGGTGGGAGAAGGCAAATCATAAGTGAGACTATTTCTGAGAAAAATGGTTCCTTAATTAGCTCTCAGAATAGACGCCTTGAACGCTGGAAAAACACTTTGAGGGACAATTTAACTTGCCTACAGCCACACTGAACCTCCCCGACATCCAGAACACACCCGAATGGGATATAGACACTGGTCCGCCGTCTGTAAGTGAAGTCACAAAAGCTATCAGTAATTTGAAACGAGGCAAAGCGACAGGACCCGACGGAATTATTCCGGAGGTGTTTAAATACGGGGGTGACATACTAGTTTGTAGATTAACTGAGGTACTAGGCAAAGTCTGGGAATCAGAGACAGTGCCATCAGACTGCGGTAAGTCACTTATTATACCGATATTCAAGAAGGGAAACAAGTCCTCGTGTGATAATCATAGGGGGATCAGCCTAACGAACATAGTCTCTAAAATCCTAGGCTCAGTAATCATGCATAGACTAAGCAGAACCCGGGAGGAACAGACAAGGGAAAATCAAGCAGGCTTTAGACCAGGTAGAGGGTGCATAGATCATATCTTCACTCTTCGACAGATTCTAGAACATAGACACACTTTTCGGCGTCCAACAATTGTCATATTTCTTGACTTGAAGGCGGCCTTCGACTCCGTGGATCGAAAGGTACTATGGCAATGTCTGACTGTGAAGGGAGTGCCAAGAAAGTACATTGCACTAATCAAGGCACTCTATTCAAACTCACGTAGTCGTGTAAGGGCTTATGGGGAATTGTCATCGGAATTGGTAACAACCAGTGGTGTCCGACAGGGATGTCCACTTTCCCCATTTCTGTTTAACTTCATCATAGATATGCTGATGGAAGTATCCTTAACTGAACGTAATGACTTAGGAATCGACTTGTTACCAGGGAATAGTCTTATGGACTTAGAATATGCAGATGACATAGTCCTGTTAGGGGAGGATGCTGACAAAATCCAGCAGAGTCTTCTGACACCTTGAGCAGCAATCTTCGTATGTTTGGCATGCGATTCGCCCCTGCAAAATGTAAGATGCTGCTACAGGACTGGACCACGTCAACCCCTAACTTAGTGATAGGGAGTGAAGTGATAGAACATGTTGACCACTTCACCTATTTGGGAAGTTGTATTAGCACCAACGGACTGATTGGCGACGAAATCTCAGCACGGATCCAAAAAGCTCGAGCTGCTTTCGCTGACTTACACCATCTCTGGCGTAGGCGTGACATCCGGCTATCAACCAAGGGACGTGTGTACTGCTCATCAGTTCGCTCCGTCCTTCTCTATGGCTCTGAAACATGGCCAATACGCGTTGAAGACATGAAAAGGTTGACTGCTTTCGATCAAGATGTCTGCGATCTCTGTCTCACGTTAGGTGGTTTAATAAGGTAAGTAATGTTGACGTTAGGCGTAGAGTGTTGGGCAAAGAGGGAAAATCAATCGACGAGGCTATAAACTTACACAGATTGAGATGGCTAGGTCACGTGGTGTGCATGCCTAACAATCGCCTCCCCCGACGGGCATTACTAGCTGATAAAGGTGCAGGTTGGAAAAGGGTAAGTGGTGGCCAAACAAAAACATGGCATCAATCCATGAAATCCTTGACAGTTAAACTGAGTCAGGTAGGGAGATGCAGACTTCCGGGTTGGGGCCCTCGGGACTGACTCTAGAAATCAATGGCTGGAGACAATAGGTGACATGGCTCAAAATCGTTGTCAATGGCCAGCTCAGATGTATTCAGTCTCTGTAATCTTTCATATTTCTTTCTACCATTACCCATTCTGTTTCGCTCTTATACCTGTCAAACTCTTTTGATTCTCTTCACTCATCTTCTTGTCTACCTTTGTGTGCTATTTGGAACGTGGCAACTCGAACTGCTGCACTTCGGTGCAAGTTCTATGTTGAATCCAGACAGACAGACAGGCGAAAAGCACAGCCGAAGACAGAAGCAAGTATAGACGTCCAGTTGAAGCCCTATGTTCCACTAGGATTCCAAGGGAACAATAATAATAATACTGTGTTACTAATTTATTTTGGCGGATTTTCAAATTCATACAATCAATCAGATATTGATTATCTATTCATGGTTTGAATTTCCATGAATGTGTAAACGAAATATATACTCTATATAGTGAGGAATAAAAGTTGTTGTTATTGTGTGTGTATCTATTTCAATATTGCGTGTATGTTCCAAGTGATCAATTACCTTGGGATGCATTGTAGGCTACACTGATGACAACGGCAAAGTCGCGAACACTCCGCTACAAGTTAGTCTTATTTACTGATGATGCTTTGGTGTTGGGTTCTCGAGTCTCAGTCAATAAATATTTTCATACGTCCAACTGATAAGTTCCAAATAGGATGAAATGCGTACCGCGGTTTCCCATTTTTAGTCACTACTGACCAAATAAAGTCCTATTTAGTGTCTGAAGACAAAAGCGACAGTCTTGTGGTAGTTCTCTCTCTCTCTCTCTCTTATATATATATATATATATATATATATAGGCAATTAATAGTGTTCTCTGAGTTAGTTGGTTTAGTTGCGAAGCTTCCGTCGTCCTTCTGAATAACATATTCACTGCAATTTTTAGCATTTACAAAATAAATTGTATGAACTGTAACAGACGTTACATCGGCCAAAGTGGTCGTTCCTTTTTCGAATCACAGTCCAGGAACACAAATCAGCTGTGAAATGCATGATATATATATTCCTGTTTCATATCAATGTATGTAGATAATTATGGACATCAGCTCGATTGGGAGAATGTCGAAATTTTAAACAGAGGAAACACTAAAAGTGCCTGGGAATTCCTAGAAGCCTAGTACTCAAGCGAATATACAATTAACAAACACGTTAATATAGACCAAATATACCAACTAATAAAAAGTAAACCACGTGACGAGAAAGTTTAAAATCGAAGTCAATGGAAAATGGTCAATACATATGTAAAGATGGTTACCGGGAGACGCAGTTCTATCACTTATGGAAAATTTAAATCAGTTCACTTTATGCTAAATACTGCGCTGAAAGGCGATGTTGTCCAGAAGGGGGACAACGAAAGCTCCGCAACTTAAGCAACCAGCTTAGAGAATACTATCAACTGCAAATCATCCACTTGAGCTACAAATCCTCTCTATATACGTATATGCATATATATCGAATATTCGAACATAATATCGAATAAATTTTACGTGATATTCACTTTTACTGTGGTTTTCCATCATGCTTCAGGAGTGCGATAGGAGGTAGTGGACTTCAGTCAAATGTATAATGTCTCACTCTCATCAACTAAGTCAGAATGTTTTCCTTTCAAGTAATGGTTTTGTAAGGATTTTGTCTGATTGGTTGGTAGATTTCATTATGAGCTGACATCAGTTAGAGAACAATTGGAAAACACCACTGCAGGACTGGACAACTGTTTCGTTATTCTAGTTTGGGACTCTTTGAACCCAAGACCTTCTGGTTACAAGGTGACCTAGCTCGTAGAACATTAAATGACTGGGACCCGACCCAATCCAATGGCCCATGAATTCTAACTTCTACCAATTCAGTGGTTCTCTAACTGATGTCAGCTCATGATGAAATCCTCCAACAAAGTCACTATGTCTTAGAAAAACTTTTTTTTATAAATTGGGCTTTTGTTCAGTACAGTTTTATATTAGTTAGAGACTCTTCAGTAGTATGGACTCAGAACTTCTGGGTTATATGGTGAGCACTTATGCATTCGGAAAAACAGTCAGACTTCAATTACTTAAGAGTCTCAACCTCTATCCTTGTGTGAAACAGCGCCACCGTTATCTAACTCCATCCGTAAGCACTCGACCCGGTCACAGCTTTTCAGTATACCTTCACGGAGTTTGTGTCACAGATGATGGTGTCACAAAAAAACTGCCTACCTCTTCAACTGATATCGATTCCTGACACAGTTTACCTTGAGACTAATGAAATCCTCACATACCCGAAATTTGGAAATCAATACTGATTGCACCGAATTCACAGATAGATATTATTGTATTATGTGGTATTTCTTTTTGGGGGACAGTATCTGGTAGTGAAATCTGAGTTGATCATTTCTTCTTATATATGGGATGCGCTAGCTGGATGTAACTGTAACGGTGGTGACGATGAGACCCGAACTCAGCAGGAGGTGCTCCCATCGCCGAGTCCAAAACAGGACGACATGATCATCCTGAATTGCATCGCTAGTCACTTTCCAAAACGCAGGATCATGCTGACCCCAGACATCGCCGAAATGTCCGTATTAGGAGCCGACATGTCAATAGAAACTGGACGGGATATTTACAAAATTAATTTAAACAAGGAACTACTATAGTAATCGTAAAACAATCATTTATTCGGTACAGTCTACATCTTCTATGAAAATACTCTGTTTTAAAAAAGAACATCTTGTTTTTTGCCAGTTTTACATTTTCTTCTAGAAAGACATAACTGACGTGTCGTAGAATAGTTTCGGTGATTCAGTGGTAGGATGCTTATCGACCATGCATGTGGTCTGTGGTTCGATTCCCGATCGATGCTCTCCTAACACTCACCCAGTTTACTTACTAGTCGGTAGTAAGCCTGAAGGAAGTTTGTGTGTTAGGTAGCAAGCTCAAATGATAAAAACAGCCCCACAGCTTCAAACCTGAAGCCGCATGTCCCACTGAGAGTGCAAAAGTAATGGAAAAATAGGATAGTTTCAATTAGTTGTTGCTGTGCATCTCCAAGTTGCTCAGCAGACTACACTGAGTACTATCTATCTGGTGAATAGCATGTCGGTGGCACAGTGATAGAATGCTCGCCAACCACGCCTTTTCTGGTCCGGCGTTCGTTCCCCAGCCATCGAAGCACTCCTTTACCTAGCTAAGCCAGTAATATGACTGGTAAAGAGGGAAGGTTTGGCATGAGTCTAGCAACCCCATCCCGTAAAAGTTAACACCATTACCACCGAAACTTCAAGCCTTTAGCCTAAAGTCCTACGTTCTGCTGGGAATGCAAAGGAATAACAAAACAAATTCGATGAATAATTTAAGTTATTTACAATGTAAATACGTGATGAAGAGTTTTTTCGATTTTCGGTTGAATTATTTGTGGTAAGTTGTTCTACTAGCCCGTATCTTTAAAGTGTGTAGGCTGAAATCCAGTCGAAATGATCTTTTATATTATTAGCAGTTCTCGATAGATTGCTTCAAGTATGCGGTGCAACAATTCAGCATCCAATGTGTTTATTTATTATTATTATTTCTGTCAAGGCGGAATTTCTTTTCCTACATATTTGAAAGCATTATCATCATTTATACAGACGGTGATCAGTTCGTGGTAATTGATGCGGTTGTCAACTCCTAAATTTAGCAGACTCACTTTATCCGAATTCAGTTATACGTAATTTTGTAGGCGGATCATGTGATACTGCTATGAATTTCACACCGACAGCTTTAAGTGAAATTTTGTTATTGTTGTTGTTTTTTTAAGTAGGATGCCAGTAGAGAGTTTACTGTGTGCATGGATCTCAGATATGAAGAAAGGCGTATCCTGTCGATTAAGCTGAGACATGTGCTAATAGTGTAGAATTGTAGTTTGTAAGGAAATCCGCAGGTTAGTACAATCAGATGAATTCCCTTCAGTGGTTTCTGGTTTCTACAATCCTCGGCTTAATAAAAATGAATTCGGATAAATTTGCAGAGAGTTCTACAAGATTAGATTTTGTGTTCAAATCTTTTGTTTTGTTACTATACCCTCTTAGTGGTGATATAATTCCAGAAATATATTATATAATTCTACAATTATTATTAACTAATACCACTTTTAGGCTGTTAGCAACTGTAGGAAAGTTATGAGATGAAAGATGAGCCTTTTTTATCCTGCTATTTATGTTTATTCTCAGTTGACATGTCCATTCGTAATAAGAACGCTTCGACGCAGTTTTATGAATAATTCCAAGCAATTTGGTCTGCGGTGACTAGCAGTGGAACCTAGGATGCACATTTCGTCTTATTTTTTTGTTTTTGATTTCAGCTTGATTCCACACTGTGTTTTTTTTGCTTGTGATATCGGTAGTCCGAATTTCCCAGGCCGTCCATAGATATCACGTGTGCTTCGGCAGAAGATCGAACGCCGGACCGGGTTCTGGGTCCGAGAGAGTTCGGCGGGAGTCCTAACCACTATGCCACCTGTGCACAGTGGGATCCGTCACTGAATATAGCCTACATTCCCCACGGTGATGGTGTCCCCACTGACTTTCGAACCCAGTACACATCTTTTCAAACGTCAAGGAGTTATTCATTAGGCTACTTGGACCATGGTTCCAATCGGTCAACAGGAAAATCTAAATTGAATGAAAACAACACAAAAATCGACTCCCGTGGTGCAGGTGGTCCAATGTAAAACGTTATCACTTTCGAGATCACAATTGGAAATGCCGGTGTACATCTAGCGACCGCTCCTGAAGAGGGCGAAATGCGCATCCTGGTGAATTCCATTGCAAGTCATCATTCACTGAATTAACTTTATATGTGTTACAGGATTTCATCCTCAGCTAACACCAGTTTGAGAAAAATCGGTAACCACCACTGCAGTACTGGACGGCTATTTTGTCCACCTTGTTTGAGACTTTTCATCAGTACGCACACACCGCCAGTACTCCGAACCCATGACCTTATGGTTCCAAGGCAAACTAGCTTATAGATCATTAAACAACCACTGCGACCCGATCCAATCCAATGGCCAACCCATGAAACTCAGAATTCCGCCAATTCACAACACAGCACAACCACTAACCAATGCTTCGGCGACTACTTGTCCTCACACCCGACGTGCTGCATCCTACTGGTCATGACTTCCTACTAGAAAGTCAGTTAACTACCTAGCTAAACAGGATCAGTTACTAGTGAGCATCTCATTGATATTCAGTACCAATACTTGAATAAGTTTATATTGGTTGAGATTTCTGACCAATTTCGATCTTAAATGAGTATACCAGAAGTAATTATTAGACCGAGTAGGTTAAATACCGTAGTTGTTCAGATTTCTGATCACAAACTTACTGATTACTTATTTTTCATATGAATCGCTGATTATGTTTATTAGATAATAAAAATAGTAGGTTACTTAAAACAGTAATATTATAGATTATTTAA